TAAAAACTAAAAAATTATCTTCAAAGATCTCAAACTCTATTGCTCTGACTACTGAGGTTGCTTCTCAACAAAGAACTTCAAATCTTAGTCAATTTCTAGCTTATTTCTTTAGTCTTTCTTCTTCTACGTCAAAACTCTGTCAAAATGAAAAAAAATATTTCTGGATCTAAATTTGAAAAAGCTACAATGCAAAAGGATTTTACAGTTTCTATAGTTGTCTCAAATATTGTAGTAATTGGTCCTGCTGTTGTGGTTTCTCCTCCTCCCACTATCGATGAGGGTGCATCAGCATCTAGAATCCTAGGTGCCTTGCATGAGGTAATGGTTACTCATACTACATCCAATGATACATCTCCTCTTAGTTATGTGGTCATTACAAATACTCATACTGCAGTAAGACCTATCACTTCAACTACTCAAGAAAGGAACAGTAAACCTCGTCCTCCAATAACTGCGTCTTGGGCTTCAAAGGTTAAACCTACTGTTGATAAATCTCTAAAAATATTATCTCCAATGGCGTTTTCTCCTTCAAGGGTCCCAAGGGTAAAGATTCCAGACGAGAGCTTGATAATAATTGCATGTTATTTATTTTCTTGACTTCGAGAGTTCATTGATAGCGTACAATTGTCATAGTGGTTTTCGCTGAGAGAGTATAATTAACCTATAGTGTTCAATAAATGAATAAGTAAAACTATAAATACATGAGAATTCATGAAAGCCCAACGATTTCCTCTTATTATTTACAACCGATTTATTTTATTGCTTTGATCTATTTTGCCCACAAAAAAACCCCATAAAATTTCGTTTTTGCTTAGGTTAGGTCTTAATCCATATTTCTATTGTGCATTCAAAGTCTATGTGGGATCGATACCTCAATTAGTAAAGTTATTTTGCTTTGCACTTACAGTTCAGGAGTTGATAGGTTTGTGTAAAACTTACACAACATCAAATTTTTTGGGCGCTGTTGCCGAGAACTTTTGTAGTGCCATTAGTTTAAAATAAAGATTTCCGCAAGTTTTTAATATCTTTGCAATTTAACTGAAGTTTTCTTTTTTCTTTGTGTTTTAGGTGTAAACCAGGAGTCAAGGCTCTAACACACTGATCCCGTTTGAATCTGAAATAAAGAGACTTGGTAGGACAAATCGAAAAAGAGTGAGAGGAAGATAAATGGCTAACAACGATGATGTCACTAATCTCCAAAGCCTTGAGCCTCAGCTTGATAAACATGCACAATCGCTTCTCTGTGCGGAAAGTAACCAAATTTTTACGGTTGGAAACGCTAACAATGAACATGATCCTTGCAATGGTGGAGATCTACCAACACATGTGAACAACCAAGAACGCCAATTTTAATTTCACCAGACAATTACTAATTTCGATGCACCCGACGAATGAGAAGGACAAATACTAATTTCAATGCACCCGACCAATGAGAATGTAGTTCCCTCAGCTAGTGCCTTTGGTGATGCTAGAGTTGACCTCTTATGAGGTGCTACATGAGTTTGTCTCCTTTGCTATCTCTTTTGGTCTATAGACTTGGCGGTAACAAACTGTAGATGCGTGAATTATACATACCCAGGGTAGTTATAATCCATATGGGTACTTTTCTGAACCAATCTGTTCGATTAGGTTGGGATATCCGATCTGGGTTAAATTCATAGCCTGAATAGCAAAATCTTCGAATGAGATGAAGAGAAAAACTTGGAAGAAATGATGAACACAGAGACATAAAAAAACCAAAATGAAAAACTTCACCAGTTTATTAACCAATTAAGAGCCGGTGACGATTCATGAACACGACAAGGCATATCTAGACGTTTTCATACAAATGCATACCTTTAAACACACATATTCGTTTAACGAAACTAGTAATGATAACTAAAAAAAGATGACTCAAATAACAATTTTGCATCATAGCAAATAGAGTCCGAACTTAGAAGAGTTCAGTTTCCTTGTGGGTATGGATCACACAGTCTGATTGAGGGTAAGCCACACAAGTCAAGACATAATTGTTCTCCAAATGCTGGTCATCAAGGAAGGAACCATCAGACTGGTCAACTTCGCCTTTCTCGATCTTACCAGCACAAGTAGAACACGCACCAGCTCTGCAAGAATAAGGCAACTCAACTCCGGCCTCTTCTGCTGCATCCAAAATGTATTGGTCATCTGGGACCTCGAATTCGTTTTCTTGACCGTCGGGTCCTATGAGCTTGACTTTGTATACCGCTGACATGGTGGGACCAGAATTCGCCGAGCATTTCAAGCCAAAGGATCTCGAGACTTTATTGACTGATCCGATCGAGAAATGCTGGCTCTTGGTGGCGTTGAGTTTGTTGGTGGGCTGGCTTCTAAGAAGCGCCCTGGTCATGCTAGTGGAGGAGATTCGCACGGTTGCCATTTCGTTTTCACCTGCACTTCCACAAGTTTAAGGGTTTAGGGTTTCGGTCTTGTAACCATCTTTACACAAAGGAGAAGACGTTTCAGAAACACCACTCAATACCTAATCTCCATAATGATATGAGAACCCATAAAACGCAAACGCAAAGAATAGAGCAATCAAAGATGCATAAGGCAGTAATGAGATCTCTCCGATCTAAGAAACCTTTGTCACTCACAATTCACATCTTGGTGTACAGGCTTACTAGTTTCTAAAAGACATATTACGAGAAAAAGCAAAAGAGTTGCAAAACTGTGCATCGCAAAGCAGCAAATGGAAACAAGAACCGAAAGGGAATCTGTTCCAATTGCAAAAAGATGTGAAAATTTACTATATGGAGCGTAATGAGAAGATGCAAGCTGGAGGCTAATATAGATCTTCACTCGATGCTCCAGAAAAACACTAATTACATGTAAATCATCAACAATTACTCTTAAGAAAAAAAACAGCAAGCAACAGTTAATCTAACCGATTTGACTTTAGTTTTTGCAGGAAAATTAAAAGATAACTAGCATCGAAAAGGAATCAAACATATATTTGGCAAACAAGATCGATCAGATCAAACTCGAGAAACTTACAAAAAAGAAAGAGAGAGAGAATATTGGAGGCGGAGACTACTACGAGAGACAGGAGAGGGTTGGGTTGGTGGAGAGGTATAAAAGGGGAGGGCAGTGTGGCTTTTCGTAGGCCGTCACGGCCCAACTTGCCACCTCCCACACCTAAATATTTTCTCATTTTAATTTTCTCTTTTGTTTCAAATTTTTAAAATATTTCGTTTTTTTTATTTATTTATCTCCCATACACATCATTTAGAAACTACTTTTCATTTGTTTTTTTTTTTCCCGTCAAACAGAAAAAGAAAAACAAAATTTTCCGTGACATTTTTTTTAGATAGACACATAATCAATTAGATACACATATAATTCTACAACTTCCACACTTCAAAGATTCACGATATATTGTTATTTCACGGTGAATAACTTTACCCTAGCAAACTAAACTATCCCAAACGGGTTCTACCTATAATCATGCTTGAGATTTTCAATATATTTATCTCCGCTAATCTACAATTCACATTCTCATGTACTGAATCGTTTAGTTTTGCAAATTCTTTTTCTTTTTCTCTAAATCATTCATTTAATTTTTGACCATACAATTTGTAATATTTCATTAATTAAATTAAGTTTATGAAAACTATATTTTGCTAATATTATTATATATTAATTCATGATAATCTATGCAACTCGCATAAAATTCTCACACAAAACGAATCAGACATTTAATGCACTTCATCATAATTAGACCTATTTCGACCGTGCCAAGCATAAGATCCTCATAGATGTGACAACCGCAAGAGTTATATGGCCGTGTCAAAGTTATAACATTACAAGTGGAGCAACTAGAACTAGCTGGATGAATTAATTCAGAGAGAAAATTATGTAGAAGTGATTGCTCAACATAACATGCACTCTTCACTTCCACACGAAAATGTTTGATGATGATCTTACTCGGAGTTTTTGTCTCTTTATGATCATTTCGTACCAAAATTTTTGGCTAAGATCTAGTCCGTCCAAATGTATTTGTCTCCCACAATGTCCCAAAAAAATTAATTCATTGCCTAAAACCACCTTACTAAAACCACCTAAACCACATTGTGGGCACAAGACTGCTTCACAACCTGATCCACAAGTCTTTCAAC